TCAGGGTTTTGCTCCAGTTGAATGTGCCATCCAGCATAACCTCTTGGGAAAAATATTAGATATACCATAGGATCTACATTTGCAGACATAGACAAAATTGTTTTTAAAGGCTGACCTCAAAGGTATATAACAACTTTCCCAGATGCAGGTGGAGCACCATCATCTCCCACAAACACAATAGCAACCTCGTAATGGGAAGAAAGGTTGTATCGACGTCTATCATAACCTTTAAGCAAAAACATTCTTATAACAGAAGCTACTTTCTAAAGCTGCTCGGCGGATTTCTTCATACTCTACTTCTATCATGTTTTAATAAATGCAAGAGCAAATGGGTTTTCTTGATTAATTAATGTTTGCAAAAGTTGCATTAACTCACGTATAACAACCATTTAACCAGGTTGCCTTATTCTGAATGACACTGCTGCATTAGGATCATAGATAAATAACTGACAATATTTGGGCAAATCGCCTTATGCAGGCCTCAAATTTCCAAAATTTGCACACAGACCTTAAAACAGAAAGGGACATTATTTGAGGGAGGGGCTAAATTGGCAGTGAAGGAAGCAAAAGATAGTGAGGAATTATAACTCCTTATTTGTTTAAATTTTTTTTGATTTACAGCATGATCAACATGGTTTCCTGTCATAAAATCAGTCAACAATGGTGGATATATAGAAAGAGGAGCTAATACAACTTTTCTTGAATCGTAGTTTCATTTAAAAATTTCTACGCACGACAATACTGACAATTATGGTTGAATTCTCCGAGGTAATTACTCTCTGTAGCAATATTATTTCTTGCTATGCGGTGCATATTATACCTATTGATTTCTCGCCTAGCCTGATTTTTTTCATTTTGAATACAATTTATTTCAGCTCGCCTGGACTCAACTCTTTCATTCCGACAACGGCGTATCTCAGCTCGCCTGGGCTCGTCTCTTTCATTTCGACGGCGGTTTATCTCAGTTAGCCTAGCCTGTCTTCTTTCATTTTGACGAAGTCTAATAATTTCATTTCTTAAATTATCAGACATAATCAGACATAATCATGCATCAAAGGAGTGTGTTAAAATGATGCCTAATATAATAAAAAGTTGAAGTTTGAGTTTTCTTTTTTAAACTAATCTAAAATAAAGTAAAGCAAATAATATAGAGCATAATATAATAATCTTTTATATTCTACCATATATAGCAATGTGTTAAGATAACGTGCTTTTAATAAAAGGTTAAAATGGTTTAAACTAAAGTTATAAATAAATTAATATAATCTTTTAAACTGAGTATTGCTATTAATTATTGACAAAATATTATCAGTATTTAATCAAAAAACAAAAGTAAAGTAATTTTAAAAATATTTTTTTCATATTTAAGAACGCATAAATAAAGCAAATTAAAATAATAAGGCCTGTCTGCTCAGCAAGTACTGCTTAAATATAAGCATGAAATGTAATCATTCATCATAAAAACCCTTTCATTTCTTTGAAACGCATTTAATGCAAAACTTGCAATAAATATGTAAATACAAAACTATGAAAAGAAAACCTCTATAAATAATCATATATTTGCTTCAAGTTAAGAAACTTGGAAATATTGAAATTTGTTTAACTATTTGATTTTTTTTAAATATCTAATATTCTAAAGAAAAAATGTCAATAATGTATATTCTATACATATAATATATGTATAGACACTTTAGTTTTATATATTTTATTGTATATACGTCATATATATATATATATATATATATATATATATATATATATATATATATATATATATATATATATATATATATATATATATATATATATATATATATATATATATATATATATATATATATATATATATAATTTGTTTATTTGAGTTTATTATTTTAAGAACATTGAGCACTCTATTTGTAGAATATATCAACATTCGTGCTAGCAAAATCAACAATCGTGCTATAAACTAAGCCAAGTCACTACAATTTGAAAAGATTTTTACAAACACATAAATGATATTTTCACAATTACAAAATATAAACCCGTATAACCTTAACACATAAATATAAATAACACAAATATAAATAAATAATATAATAAAAATATATAAATCAAGAAAAATATATAATTTATAAACTTTGCAAATACAACCTTACTTTTGAAATATTTGTTTAAAATATGTCGACCTTATTACTATTTAAGTTGATGAAGCAAAGTTTTTGATCGTTTTACTGATTAAGCAGATATTAATAGATTATTAAGATTCAAGAGTACCTCATCGCGTTGTCAAAAATATATAAAAAAAGGTATCTAAAAGGCCAAGCATGCTCATAAAACTCCGTGTAAAAACGCGAATGGTGAGCAGCAGCAATGTTAAGTTAAGCAATAATATAAAGCGATTATTATAAACACAATATTAAATACTTTCAAGATTACATATCTGAAAAAAATCTTATCAACAAAAATATCGGATGACCATTAAAAAATATATATTATAAAATAAAGAAATATATATTTCAACATAACAACTAGTGATCGACCGATATCTGTTTCGGTATCGGTTTCGGCCGAATTTTTAATTTGAACCGGTACCGAAATTAATGTTTCATTACTGTTTATATATTCAGTAAAAACCAAATTTCGGTTTAAAATGATACTGAAAACCGATATATATCTAATTTAGAAAAACTATTATTTTTAGTAAAACAGTTGTTTTTTAGAATTTTTACAAAATATTTTGAAAAGTTTCACAAAAATTTTAAGAATTTTTACTAAATACCTTAACAAAATTATTATTTGCAGATATAATCTGCCAGTTGTTAAATTTCGCTATTAACTTACATCGCCGATTTATGTATTAAATCTTAGTTTAGAATACACGGTTAATCAATTTTAACATATTACAAGTATTTTTCTAATAAAATAAATTTTTACCAGCCGAAATTACGCTATCGGTTTCGTTAAATTATTTTTTTTTTTAATGTAGTTTTAATATTTTGGTATTGTATTTTAAATATTTTGTATTTGTATTTTAAATATTGAAATTTCGATTTTGGCACATTTGAGTACCCGAAATTTCGGTTTCTTTTGGTTTCGTATTTCTTTCTATTTCGGTCGATTACTAATAGCCACCAATTAAATTAATGATTCATAAAAGTTCTTGGTCACTAATGTAGAATTTGAATTTGTTAATTGAATCGTGTTCTTTTAACTTATATAAAATGACAGTCACTTAACATAGATAAAGGTAATATCAGTCATTTATTGCAGAGTGTTTGAGCAAAGATTTTCTATAAAGTTTAGTATTATAGACAAATAATCCACCTCTATAAAATATCCTTTTTAATTTCTTATTATCAAACTCCTTGAATTAGGAAAAACCATTCACTAAAAATGAATGGAAGCAGCCTTCTATAAACAAGCAGTTATTAACTTAGATGTGGTTATAAAAACTTATGATTTAAAGGTCTTTCTAAGAATTCTTAGTGTGAGAATTATGAGGTAGAAAATTAATTATTGTTTTAACTCTTTTTAGAATAATATTTAGTCGTTTATTAGTTTGGTGGTTTTTGCCCCCAAGATTTTTGTTGTTTTTTATATTTTTAAGCAAACATCGAACAGTGCTTCAGAAACCTTAAGAAGGAACCATAAATATTTATTTGTAAAAGAGTTATATTTAAAATGTTTCCAGGGTTTTTCTGGGTACAAGAATTTAGAAGTCTAAAATTAATTCTGACTACTCAAATCAACATTTAACGAGCTGAATGAAGCGTATAAGCTTATCAAGGTGTATCAATTTTTTTTTTGGAAATTTTAAAATCAAGTGGGTTATTTTTTGGAGAGTATTATAGCCAATTCCAATTTTGCATTTTAAAAAAAAGGTACTACTAGGGCGGGTCATTTGTTATAAACAGGAAAATTACTATAATATGACAATTTCAAAAAGAAAAATTATAACTAAAATCACACTTTCTTTTTAATTTCTTTAAAAAACTCACTGTTTGTTAGGTCGAATTAAAAAAAATCATACTTGGTTGAAAATTCAAAAATAATTGCCCAGTTCCTAATAATAAACTATTAGCTACAGTTGGGCCAACAGTCGGCTTATAGTTAGTACCGAGGAAAAAACGTAACGCTTTCATCAACACTTTGCCAACTGTTTTATAAACTGTTAATACCATTAAGAACCCAATATTAATGAAGTTGGCTAACAGTTTGTGCTATTACCGGCCCAACTATATATTTTGTTTGTGAGTTTTTACATTCGCTTTGGCACTTTATTGTTCGGTACACATATCAAAGTTCTATATAAGATTTTACCAGTTAAGCAGTGCCACTGCCCGCACAAAACTTTAATTATTTAATAATTTAAGCTTAATTGATTAAACACAATAAACAAGTTTTTAATCATTATACTCTCATTTCCAGATCATAAAAAAATTTCCAAATTATTTACAAATAAAAAACTCAAACTAAGTATAACTTTAGTTAATATTATTAACGGTGTAAATTATTGCATGCAACTTTAAATTAAAACTCTAGTTTAAAACGCTAGTATTTAAAAATGCTGCGATATATTAAATAATTATTATAAAAATTAGGAATAATTAGAATTAATAATAAAATCAAGATAAATAAACTTTAATAAATTTGCAAAAGAAAATAAAAACTAAATATTGTTTTCATTATTTAACTGCAACTAATTTTTAAAAGCTTGCCATTAGCCTGTGTATTATAAAACATTTTTTACTAAATGAATATGTAGGTTAGCAGACGATCCCATGGCTCAAAAGGAGGTGAATAATTTCGTTTGCCGTGGAGTTTTTCCCATTGCTCAGAAGTAGGTAGGTTTTTTCGGAAGCCGTTAAGTTTATACATAAAAGTAAACAAAAATTGACACGAGGTTAAAGTAAATATTAGTATGGATCTATTTTCAGTTTTTTATGACGACAATTTAAGCCTGAACAGTTCTGAAGAAAGCACGGAGGAAAGTGGAATTCTATTTATTCTGTATAAATTAATTTGTTAAAAGTTGCGTCAAGATTGTAATTAGTGATTTAAATCCGTCACAATACAATAATTTGTGAGGAATTTAAATACCTCAATTCAAAGATTATAATACATCGCAGCAAGTTTATTCAATCAAAAATAACTAAAATAAAAATATTCAAGTTTGAAAAGAAAAATTTGAATACAACTCTAGATTAGAATTAAATTTTTACTTTAGAAATTGTTGAAGAGGATGGGAAAATCACAGATATTGACTTTTTGCCAGTAAATTGCATTGATAATGGTTTGTTTCTAATTTACTAAATAAGTATAAGAAAATTAGGATTTTGTTTAATTTTTAAATCTTTTTAAGTGTTTATTATAAAAACAAAATTTTATTAAGATTTACCTTTTTTTTTTTCAAGAATATGTTATACTGTCGTCATTGTGATTTCAAAACTGTTGTTAAATCTATTTGTAAACATTTGTTATAGGAGACAAAACCAAACTTGTTTATCATTGTAAATCACACGAAGAAGCATTGCATTGTATCAAAAAATATGAATTAAGAACAACAACACGATTTGTGGTGTATTATGCTAATAAAAATTTTGGTAACACAGGTTAGCTGATTGCCAAGTGTTCTTACTTTTTGAATTCTTTGCAGGATTTTCAAATAATTTTTTGCATTAAGTTACTAACTCAATATTTTTTATTTTAGATACAATTACAACGAATCATAGTGTACTTTGGGAAGATTCTGCTATTCCTTATTCAGGAATACCTTATATTGTTATTTCAAATAAAGTTTTAGATTGTCACCATGGGTTTGACAGAAATATTTCAAAAAAAAATGATTACAAAAAAAATAAAAAAAGACATGATGTAACTAAAAATATCTTTAATTTTTGCTACAACTTTATTCTTGAGTTTTGATTTATATCATTCTTTTATTCTTAACACTTTAAAATATAATTTTATAAGTAAAATCTCTGGATTTAAAATTTAATTGTAGATAGATGATCATTGCTTTCAAAAAAACTATTTAATTTTACAAGATAGTAAAAAGTTTGTGTGTCCTGCCAAAATAGCTATGAAGGAAATAATTCACTTTCCTGATTTTAAGGTATAAATATTTTATCAAAAATAATTTTTCAAAGGTTAAAGAAGTAAAGTATAAATTTTCAAACAGTTGTTAAACATAGTTTCGTTTATACATTTAGATATCAGAAAAAACTGAGTGGCGCAAAAAAAAACGCATCAAAACTTTTGAGACAAAAAATAAAAACTTCACCATTAAATGAAATCCAACATACAAGAACAATTGTAGTTTCCATTGATGATTTGTCCTGTCATGATAAACATCCTGTTGGACAGGTTAATATTGATATACAGTTGCAAAAAATTAATAAATTAAATTATGAAAAAAGAATTGTATCTGTTTTATGGTTTTATATTTTATTGTAAAATTTATTTAGGCTGACTTGATTTCTCAAATGATTGATCCTCAAATTTCTAAAAAAATAGAAGAATATGTTAAAGAAGGAATATGTAACATTAGAGAAATGAAACGTCTTCTTTGACTATTTGTTAAGGATATATTTGAAAAAGAAAATCTTCCTCCTCCAAATAATAGAAGATTTTATCCATGTGTTAATACTATAAGATCACATATAGTTAAAATGAAGCAAAAGTTGAGGTAAATTTTATATTATTCTAACTTGATGTAACCAAGAAACCATTAGCATTGCTAAAAATCCCTGTTGCAGTCAGTATTCCTTCAACTGCCTCCTTTATAAGAACAACAATGTATAATCTACCAGATTGTATGTATATCCACCAGTTCGTATTTTCCCTCATTTGCTTGTCCTCCACCTGCATATTGGTAAATTTTCAGCTTTCATAATTCATGTTTCACTACCAAATATCATAACAAACTTTACCACATCTTCCATGATACTGGATATTTTGTTGCTAAGTTAAAACAGAGTTAACAAAAGAAGATCAAAATAATGTCTTAATACTTACACTTATGTTTTATATATATATTTTAGTGCTAATTTGTTATACTTTAATTTTAAAGATATTCCATGATTGATCAAGAATGTCTTTTGAAAAAGTGTCATGAATGGAAAAAAATTGATCCACATATTAAAGTGTTAATTCGACCAAAATGTGAAGTTACAGACAATGAAATTTGTAAAAACAATTCTACATTTTTATTTGTTTATCAATCACAGTGGCAACAAGACCTTCTTTTGCGATACGGAAATGAGATCATTCTTCTTGATGCTACTTACAGAACTACAAGATATGCTCTTCCATTATTCTTTTTAACAGTAAAGACTAACATAGATTACCAAATAGTAGCCACTTTTGTCACTGAAAATGAAACAAAAAAAGCTATTACTGAAGCACTAAATGTTATAAAGAGTTGGAATGCATTGTTTCAGCCTTCGTTTTGTATGACAGATTATTGCAACGAAGAAATCGAGTCATTAGAAACTGTTTTTCCAGGTAAATGAAAACTGCATTTTCAAAATCATCTTTTATTTTAAATACTAATATAATTAATATAATTTAAAAACAGATTTTTGAAAATTGGTTAGTGTGTCCCTTAGATTTGCAATGCTTCATATAAAGTATATACATATAAAACATAAACGTTACTATATTTAAAAATTTTTAAAAATATATAAAAAAAAATAGTTTAGAGTTTCCTAATTTATCTATTCCTAAAGGTTGTCGTGTCATTATATGCGATTTCCACAGAGAGCAGGCCTGGGATCGATGGCTTTCCAAATTAACAAATGGGTGTTCTGATTATAAAGGTAACATAATATCGATGTTACGACGTGTTGCAAGAGCGCAAAATCAGGATGAGGAAGATGCAGCTATTGAGAAGCTGCAGTCCTCCAATTTTTGGTTCGATGACAAGTTTCATAAATTTAAGAAGTACATAACAAATTATTGGTTGTGCAAAAAGAAGTAAGTTTTTTTTTTCTACATAGTTACCATAATTTTCTAATTGTTATAATAGATATAAAACAGTTGCATCAACTTTTAAGAAATTTATTAAAAACATTTAAAAAAATTTTAAAGCTTCATACGGTAGTACTCTTTATCTTTTCCTTATAAAACTAAGTTTTACAGAAAGCGTTTACAAAATTAGGAATAAAGTTTAGAAGAGTGTATAACCTTTTTTAATTTTAACATTAATGTAGCTCTGTTTGCTCAGGGTTGAAGTTGATATAAATATTTTATAAATGAGAAACTTTTTTCTTTTTTTTTCTAATTAAGAAATGGATATGGGCCTATCGTCAGGATCGTTTATTAGTTAATCTAAATACCAACAATGGTCTTGAAAGACAAAATGAATCTTTTAAGTATTCTTATCTTCAACGCCACAAAAACTCATCTCTTACTGGAATGCTAACCTTATTAATTGAAGAGTTTTTTGCTGATAAATTTGAACAGTAAGTATATACTTTTCTAATACTCTGTATATGACTTTATAGTTGTAAAATGGTTTTATATATATATATATATATATATATATATATATATATATATATATATATATATATATATATATATATATATATATATATATATATATATATACATATATATATATATATATATATATATATATATATATATATATATATATATATATATATATATATATATATATATATATATATATATATATATATTTAAATGGCTTTTTAAAATTTCAACTAAAATTGCTTTTCATATGGTGCCCCACCATTGATATTACTAAAAAAAAAATTCTATCACATTTGGAGCATTTTTAAGCTGTTAACCCTGTTTTCTGTTTACCCTTTTTTCAGTCAAATTGCGGGGACCCTTCCCATGGATCAGTTTTGAAAAATTATATTTTTTAAAGCAATTTTATGCATAAGAATTGAATAAAAATTCAATGTTACTTCTTTTAATAATGGGTCAATTAAACAACTGCATTTTTCAAACATGTTGATTTTTAGCATTTTATGCTCTTCAATAAGGTCTTTTTCAGCGCTTTTAGTGTTTACAGTCAGAATGTAATGTTTAAAGCAGCTACAGAATCGTCTAAAAAAATGAGTTAGTTTTGTTCCTCTTTTATGCAACCATATAAGGTTGTCTATCTCAATATATGACGTTAAGCAGCATTTGTTATCTTTCAATAATGCCAGAGCATAAAAAATAAAGTCCTTCTCCTTGTAGGATTTGTTGATCAGCTCTTAGTTAAAAAAAAAAATGTTTGTTGAAATTACCTTTATAATTTCTACAAAAGGTTTAAATTTGATAATTTTTTAAAATTGTACCTGAACGAGTTTCACAGCTTTCTCACTGCAATCATTAACTACTTCCAGATTTTTGACAAATTGTTTAAACTCCATATAATAATCATTCAGGTTCCATGTCTCAACTGGGGTCTTTAACCACTGTAACTCTGCCTTCCCCATGCTTCAAGA